AATATAATATGAACATTTGTGTGGCATGGATTTGGTGTGGAACAGTGTGAATTAAATCATATTAAATAAAAAAAAAGATTTGTCTTATCAAAATGTATTTAAATATTTTCTAGATGTATTCAGAATATGCTACTTTTTTATATTATAATTATTTATAATATAGAAATTGCTATAATTGATGGAGAATTTGGTGTAGATGGTTCTATATAGCACTAAAAAGGGTTCTTCTATTGTTTTGATGTCAAGGGTTCTTCTTTTGTTTCAAACTTGACATCAAAACAATAGAAGAACCCTTTTTAGTGCTATATAGAACGCTTTTCAACTATTCTATATGGAACCATCTATAGCACATACCATTCCATGATGCAACAAGCCCTTTAATAATGCAAAGGGTTCTTTGACTGTTCATGTTTCTATATAGACCATTTTTTTTATTAAAGAACAGCTATAGAATCATCTTTTCTACGAATGCAGTTTAAACATAGTAAAAAAAAAAAATTAAACAGGCAAAATTCTGCAAGCTGGTTTCAACATTTTTAGATAAAATGCCCCAACATATCACAACCGTGTTATAGTGTGTTATAGTGCATTACAACATTCATGTATACAATGTTCTCATGAACAGATTCTATAATTACAGTGCATTGCGAAACCTGACATTATTAAACTATATACTCTTGCTTTAAGTGTTATGCATGTAACTATAGCTACTTATAAGCAATTTATACAAGGCGTTATAAGGTTTTATGCATGCATTATAACGCACATGAACATGGATTATGTGTACAGGATTCATAGGACGTGGTACCAAAATTCCTTGTACATCTTTTACAAATATTCTGATTCCGTTTCTGAAGTGATGAAAGTAAAGTTGACTTATGAATCAGTGCCGCATTGAAAGCTACAGTTCAAAAGAATCGGTTCGGGAAACTCGAACCGATTCGAACTTATCGTCACTATTCCGAAGCCCAGCGGTCTCAGGTGGTGCGCGCTGCCCATGCGTGGGCTCCTCCGCGCGCGCCAGAGAGCAACGCGCTGTTAGTGCCTCGCGCCTCGCTCGTGAGGAGCTTTCAAGAGGCTAAACGGGTTAGCATGAAGTCTGAAAAGAAACCGTGCGGTGAGAATTCGTCCGAAGCCACTGCTGTACCTGGTGTGGAACTGTAGAGATGATACGACTTTCCCTCAAAAAAGAAAAGTCCGATGCGAAAATGAAACTATTTTCAGCATTTGAACACAGAAAAGTGAGCTCGCGGGCTGCGCGCGCTCTAAGGTTAAGGAAAAGCTGTTGGCTCGTGATATCCCGGGCTCGCTAAATATACCCTGAGTGAGACCGTCAAGTGTTTGAAACCGGAGCCCATTAACGTTTTCTTAATGTAACTGTGAGACTGAAAAGGACAGAAAAGGCTTAGAGACAGATACAAAAATACAAGAATAGGTCTTCAAAGGTTCTTTAGCAAAAGAATGGCTCTATTTAGAACCATGAGTTCTATGTGGAACAATTTAATGCTTAAATGGTTCTTTGTGAAATCCTTCTACAGATTAACAGAGGATGTGTCATATACACCGATCAGGCATAACATCATGACCACCTCCTTGTTTCTACGCTCATTGTCCATTTTGTCAGCTCCACTTACTATATAGGTGCACTTTGTAGTTCTACAATTACAGACTGTAGTCCATCTGTTTCTCTGTATACTTTGTTAGCCCCCTTTTACCCTGTTCTTCAGTAGTCAGGACCCCCATGGACCCTCACAGAGCAGGTACTATTTGGGTGGTGGATCATTCTCAGCACTGCAGTAACACTGGCGTGGTGGTGGTGTGTTAGTGTTGCGCTGGTCTGAGTGGATCAGACACAGCGGTTTGCTGGAGTTTTTCTCAAAGTACCCCCATTTGGCACCCATCTGGGGACAAAAATCCTCCAAGTCTAGGTCCTCAAGCCTAATAAACACCTGGGAAAGTAATTTTTGTTCAGCTTTAATACTGTGTTGTCTCACAACTGAATGCACTGGCATGCGCAGGAGGCGTGGCCATGCAAAACAGCCATGCAAAAAAGGGTCTTGGTAAGCGCCGCGCTTGGGGTTGTATTTATTGTATATAAGTTGTTTGCTTAACACACACAGCAGTGTTAGTTGTGCTATTCTTTGTTGGGCTGTGGGATGGTTGGTGTCGGTGTCTACCATAGAGCAGAATTGTATGGTGTCAGAAGTGGGATAGCAACCTGGAGCCTGGAGTGGTACGATGCCTTATCAAACTCAAAGGTAAATATAAGGGAAGACCGAGTCTGGCCGAAGATGGTGGAAGAGGCAGCGCTGAGCAGGCTTTCTCCCTTGTTGCCTGTTCATTAAAAGAGCATTTGCCTTTAAAGTGAAATGTTTCCCATGTCTTCTTCTTCACTGATGCTACATTAGTTTGAAGTGGCTGGCATTTTTAAGTGTCTACTTTTTGCTCCAGCAAAAATGATATTGGGGGACTGTATTTCTCTTAAATCTGCAGATTTTCTCTTTCTGCTCTAATAAAGTCTTCAAATATGATATGTGGATCACAGGTTGGGCATGTATAGTCTTACCCAGACGTGCCACTGTGTGGTAGCATTATTGGTTTGCGCATGCATGCACAGCAAGACACTTGTGGGTGCTGCCCTCGGTAAGGGTGATGTCCCATGTGTCCGTGCACGTGAGCCTGTTTTCCTCTCCTCTGAGTTCTCTGTTCCGTAACTTTTCGCCAGAGTTTCAGCCTTTAATTGGGCAGAGCGGGGGATGCCTGACTGTCTGCTTCCACCCGTGATCAGGACCGCTCATGCAGTAGGAGGCGGGGGGAAGGCTGGGGTGAAAGCCCTTTAGAGGAAGATCAATGCAGCGTGCTTGAATATCAAATCAGTTCACAGACTGTCTGGGAATTCCCTCACAGTTTGCTTCTTTGCCTACGCACCGACTCCCTCAGTATGGGGGGAACCTCCAGAACAGCTGGTGCATTTTCATATCTGTGCTACCATGTGACCTTTTGCGACTCTGTCTGTCACCTGTCACTCCATCTCCATGCGAGTATTTTTAAATTGAGATGTTTCTTAGGAACACCTTGCATACGTATTGGTGGGAAAAAAGGAGGAGGGTTCTTTTTTTTTTTTTTTAAAGATGAAAACACATGGTTTCTGACTCCCACGGACTTGGGCTCATGCTGTGCCTGGGACTCAAATATGCAGACAGAATCCTTTTAATTAGTTGAGAGTAGAGGAACGAAACTTTGGCACATCAGCAGATTTCTGCAGCTCTGAACTCTGAAATGTTGAAAGCTGGACGTGCTCACTGTTGGTCAGGAATGCTGTTGTCAGGCCATACTAGTAAGACTGCGAGGCGTTAGTCAGGTCACAGTCACTTAACTTCGACTGAAAGGACAATAATCCATGACTGGTAAAGGAAAACTTTTATACAGGTCATAAAGTATTTCACTACCTCTAAATCCTTAAAAAGTGAGAACAGGCATTTGCGTCCTGAGCATCGATATATATTTAGAACAAAAGTTGGCCTAAGTGTTGATCCAGGTATGAAACTTCAACATGCCTGGTGCCATAGTACTTAGTTACAATGAAAATGTCTAAGTAGAATTAGAATGGTTATTTCTATATGTAAATGTTTAAACATCGACAAGTCTACACTGAGTAAATTAAGTTACAGATCAAAAACTTCTCCATATGCATAGATCAGCATCTGATGTCAACCAAGTTATTCAGTAAGATGTTTAACGCTTTGAGTAATATTGAGTTATACATGTTAAATTAATGAAATGGACTAATTAAAAGAATTCTGTCTGCATGTTTGAGTCCCAGACACAGCGTGAGCACTAATCCACCAAGGTCAGACCACCTCTTCATTCTCTTTAAGAGAGAGAGAGAAAAAAAATCATTT